GGGCTCCTCCGTCCTAGGAGTAGATTATATAGAGCGGATCCATGTGGAGTGGTGCATGGGAGGTGAGGGTAATGGACAACGATGAGGGAGGGTTTGACCCAAGGACCGGGCAGCATTGGTTGGGGGCAAAATAGGTCTCTACCACTCATATCTTGACCTTCACGGTGTTGACGTAACTTGTATGGTCCTAATTGATGCCGACCTGACGGATACCGTTTGATCTTGTGTTGACCAAAGTTGTGCTAGTCCTGACCTACGACCTCAGGTCGGTGGTCAAAGGTCAAGGACAAAGCCAAAAAGATAAGGCACCACAATTCAAATGGGCCAAACCCCGTAGGATGTCAAATCAATTAGATCAATATTTACGTAACTTCTAGAACGTTCTATGAGAACGCTGACCAAAATAGCAGCCAGACGAGAAAAGTTAGCCTGTACCACCCTTCCCCCTCCGAATTCATCTTGTTAGGCGGATCAATGAGGATCAAAACTTGTAAATTTACTTTCAGTTTCATAGTTTGAGAAGAAGATCGTGCTCCTTTTAACGACACCCATGTCGGTTCGTTCTCTTTACCTTTCGCTTGCACGACAACTCTCTACGAAAATAAGCCAGAATCTTATTAGAATGATTTTATTCATATAAGAGATGTAATTAATGACATAAATAGAAGACTTGTGCATAGATTGGTGGCATGAGCGATTACGGTAATAGTGAATGGAGTGAATACTAGCTTTAGGGGGGTGATTTGTTTCTCGTGATCTATTAGATAAGTGTATGTGTGTAATAGGCGCGGAGTTGATGCATTGAGTCATTGGTTTGGGGATGAGCTCCATTCACTCTGGCACAGGATCTCTTATGCCTTGCCATATTTTGCTTTAGAGAGATATAGCGACTATAAAGAGGATAATGTCAAATGGAGAGACTAAATTAATGGGGTCCGACATACCAATAAGGACACACCGCGTATTTCTTCGAAGGTTCCTGATGACGCTTCAAAAAATCCATTGTCTTATACGACTTCAGACTTATATTGGCAGAAGAAAAATGAGGGTCTCTATGATTGTGTTTAACGGGGGCGACTTACCATCCTTCAACTCCACACAATCCACCGCAGATAAACGGTCTCAGCACGACGTCTGTACCGAGATGCGTACTGTATCCCGTCTGAATAGCGAGGCTTGGATCATGTATATTATATTCGAGTGGTTCTATTGGACCGTTAGTGGTGGCTTCTGTGATCGGCGAGCTTGAAGGTATAGTGAACGAGTCGCCA